TAGTCGCCTCTTACGACCAGCATCGGTTACTGAAGATCAATATTCTTACCTGGACCTTCACAAGCTGAGGTAGAGATGGGTGATCTTAATGTTGATGTGGATCATTTGTTTGTCTTAATATCAACCACTACATTATCTGGACCAGACAGATCGTTGCAATGGCAAAGCTGTGACAGTACAGCAAAGTCCCATTCGCTCAGTTTGCTGTGGTAACTGTATCTCTATCATGCTGCTGGTCGGTGGGGTAGCCTAGCGGTTAAAGCGTTGGCTCGCCACGCCGAAGACCCGGGTTCGAATCCCCACATGGGCACAATGTGTGAAGCCCATTTCTGGTGTCCTCTGCCGTGATATTGCTGGAATATTGCTAAAGTGGCGTAAAACCAAACTCAGTCAGTCAGTCAGTCCATCATGCTGCCATTAATCCATTTCAGATGAACTTGTTGCTGCACAGATCTACAGGCTGTTCCCAAATTCAGCCCAACAGCACTACCATAATGTACTTCTATCATAATCCAGTGAAAAACGCAACATGATTTGCCTTCTGAAACATTTGCCTTAAAACATGTACACATATTTACAATCCTGCCACTTTCTTCATGTGTACTTATTGGAACCAGGGAGAGGGTATGCACTTTTAGCCACCATTGCTGAGGATGACAGATAAAAAATCCTTACCTGAATGTTTTCCCACTCAATAAGTAAACAAATCGTTGCACAATCTGAAATATATGTACTCATACTTGAAGACAAGTGTCTTGGAAAGTCTTGGAAACCATGTTGTCGTTAGATCATGCTTCATGCAGTTTGCTGAACAACATAAAATGTCTGGCAGATTTGGATCAGGGATCTACTGGGAAAACACCCTTAGCTCTGTGTAGCAGCAAGTCAACAGTTGAATCGTTTATAGGGAGCAGGACAAAGATACAGTTTGATACAGCAGCTAAAATAAAGTAATATTTATTCACACTCACTCACTCACTCAAATCCCAGTGTTGTTGATACCGGGGTTATACTTCTCAATAAGAAGCATAAGTATGACAAACAAATAAATCTTTTTTCTTTCATATTTATTTTTAATCTATATTCCATGATAAATATACCTGCATACAGAGCCCATTTGCTATAGCTGTTTTCAGACTAGTCTTGTCACAGTACAAGACAGGGTGCCATGGGTGCGCAAGGTCGGGGGGAAAAGGCCACCCCTTGTTGCCAGGAGAACCATCCCTCAACTATTTCAGGATGAACTGACCACCCAAGCGACTATGGCACCCCAAATACTGTGTCGAGTCAGGGAGACCATATCTGCCAGGAGGGTGTGGCACCTTCCTCCTTATTATTGTCTGGTAACCTTTGAACCCTGGCAGAGAATGATGGCCCCCTGCCTCTGTCAGGATAATGAAGAGGATTTCAATTTGAAGGATACTTATCAGTCAGTGACTAACAGCATTACGATGAAGTAAAAATTTAATAAAAATATACACTGAGTGAATAATGTGCTGAGTCGACGACTTTATGCTGGATTTGTGAATTCGTCACACATATATGTAACAAAGATTGAAACTGCGTGAAAAATGATAGTGTTTAAGTGGGATCAATGCCACATGAAAATTAAAGTAGTTCTTAAAATACTGACAAAAACATCACATGCTCATTTGAAGCTCCTGAACCATATTCATGTAAAAGCAATTGATTTTTCTAAGACAAGGTAATGATGACAAATCTCATGTTGACAGCAAAAGCAAATTCAAAGTCAGACAAAATCTTTTTACAACACATGGAATGTTAGATTTGAAATGATTTAAAAACATGATTCATTCACTTTCTATATTGTCAGTGTGTTCTGACACAAGCTATCACTACAAAGTTAGCGAAAGACATTTCTAGGCTTTTCAAGGGAGGCAACTCAAACCTCAAGGGAGGCAACTCAAACCAACATAAGCAATAATACTTTGTAGTTCTGCAACAATGCTTGCATTGTTTGACATTGCAGTGTCCACTGACTATCAGCACACAAAATATTGCACAGGTCATACAGCTGCTAAAACTATGCCTCTCCATAGTGGCCCTTTACATATTCAATAATGTGTAATTACAATGTACACAAATATACTAACCTGATCCAATTCAATATTCACCCCAAAAGACACCTTTTGTCTGTTCTACTTTTTAAACTGACTACATTATTTCTGTTAGAACAGTTATCAATGATATTGCAATACTTCACATCTCACTAAATCATCATTTAAAGGAAGTACATAAATATAGCTATTCAATACTCTTTCATCATCGATTCTTTTTCTTGAAATCAAAATTTGAAGCAATTACATGCATAAATCACAAAAACCATTAAAGCTATGCCCACTCTCTGTCCAATGATTCACCAACCATATGTAGGAGACATGGTTTTAACAGCTGATAGAGTTAAGTAGTTCTTCATAAACAATCTAATACACATACACAAAAATCTCATGAAATGACTGAGGAAGGAATATAATGATTGCAATGAAAAATATAGAAAATATCAACATAATCTGAAGGTATGAAAATATATTAGAACTCATATTCTTAATGACTGTCATCCACCCCCTCAAATCTGCAAGTGGTATACAATCAGCATGTCAGAGATCTCTGCGTTCCGTTTCCAGCTCTACATTTAATCCTTAGTATTTATTACTGCATCATATACTTTGTGCGTTCCTTTAATACTTTTCAATACTTTTTGTAGGGGTAACTGAATTTGGGACAAGCTGACTTTTCCAGTATGATCGTTTTTAACACACTAGCAATGATACTTATTGGGATATGATATGCATTAGTTTCATGAATGTAAGCTCTTGAGGTCGTTCCTTGACACACAAAAATATAATGCTGATGAGGAACCTCCTTGCTAACACAACCAAGCACACATGTGTCAAGGTGATACTGGCTATGGTACATGAAGCTTGAGGCGCTGTGGATACAGAACTTGATGCACATAGTGATCAAATCTGTGGGAGATACAAATCACAACGGAGAAGGTGATATCAGCTATTACACTGAAACTGTTCGTGGGATATAATACACGATTAGATCAGTAGAGTAGCATGACAAGACTGACTTCAGATGAGCATCACGGACCTGCTGATTGATGTAGTGCGCTGTAGAACTTTGTAACCATAAAACTGCTGGTTTGACAAAGGGTTGATGAATCTATGAAAAAGTATTAATGTAGGAAAGAATAAAAATACAGATGATGAAATAAAATTGGATAATATTGTGCTGTTTCACAATTTAGTGAATCATGAAAGATGGAGTATCAGCAAGAGTTGGTATCTTGAATCGACTCCAGAATTGCTAACTGGTCCAAGTCATGTTGGACAATGTGTGCATGAGAATCTCGAAACATCACAAAATGTTCCAAGTCATGTCAGTTAATGACTGTGTATGGAAGTACCTCAATTCACTCTCAGAATTGATAACTGTTTCAAAACATAGTAGCCAATAATTGTGTGAACAAGAGCAAGTGTCGCAATTCACTGCTTACTGTTCCAAACCACATCAGCCAATGACTGTGTGAACGAAAGCAAGTATCACGATTCATTGATATCTGTTCAAAGTCACATCAGGGAATGAATGTGTAAACGACAGCAGGTATCCCGATTCATTGATATCTGTTCAAAGTCACATCAGGGAATGAATGTGTGAACGAAAGCAAGTATCCCGATTCATTGATATCTGTTCCAAGCCACATCAGCCAATGAAAGTGTGAATGACTGCAAGTGTCTCGATTTACTGATATCTGTTCCAAGCCACATCAGCCAATGAATGTGTGAACGATTGCAAGTGTCTCGATTTACTGATATCTGTTCCAAGCCACATCAGCCAATGAATGTGTGAACGATTGCAAGTGTCTCGATTTACTGATATCTGTTCCAAGCCACATCAGCCAATGAATGTGTGTGAACGATTGCAAGTGTCTCGATTTACTGATATCTGTTCCAAGCCACATCAGCCAATGAATGTGTGAACGATTGCAAGTGTCTCGATTCACTGATATCTGTTCCAAGCCACATCAGCCAATGAATGTGTGAACGATTGCAAGTGTCTCGATTCACTGATATCTGTTCCAAGCCACATCAGCCAATGAATGTGTGAACGATTGCAAGTGTCTCGATTCACTGATATCTGTTCCAAGCCACATCAGCCAATGAATGTGTGAACGATTGCAAGTGTCTCGATTCACTGATATCTGTTCCAAGCCACATCAGCCAATGAATGTGTGAACGATTGCAAGTGTCTCGATTCACTGATATCTGTTCCAAGCCACATCAGCCAATGAATGTGTGAACGATTGCAAGTGTCTCGATTCACTGATATCTGTTCCAAGCCACATCAGCCAATGAATGTGTGAACGATTGCAAGTGTCTCGATTCTTTGATATCTGTTCCAAGCCACATCAGCCAATGAATGTGTGAACGATTGCAAGTGTCTCGATTCTTTGATATCTGTTCCAAGCCACATCAGCCAATGAATGTGTGAACGATTGCAAGTGTCTCGATTCTTTGATATCTGTTCCAAGCCACATCAGCCAATGAATGTGTGAACGATTGCAAGTGTCTCGATTCACTGATATCTGTTCCAAGCCACATCAGCCAATGAATGTGTGAACGATTGCAAGTGTCTTGATTCTTTGATATCTGTTCCAAGCCACATCAGCCAATGAATGTGTGAACGATTGCAAGTGTCTCGATTCTTTGATATCTGTTCCAAGCCACATCAGCCAATGAATGTGTGAGCGATTGCAAGTGTCTCGATTCTTTGATATCTGTTCCAAGCCACATCAGCCAATGAATGTGTGAGCGATTGCAAGTGTCTCGATTCACTGATATCTGTTCCAAGCCACATCAGCCAATGAATGTGTGAAGCGATTGCAAGTGTCTCGATTCACTGATATCTGTTCCAAGCCACATCAGCCAATGAATGTGTGAACGATTGCAAGTGTCTTGATTCTTTGATATCTGTTCCAAGCCACATCAGCCAATGAATGTGTGAACGATTGCAAGTGTCTCGATTCACTGATATCTGTTCCAAGCCACATCAGCCAATGAATGTGTGAATGATTGCAAGTGTCTCGATTCACTGATATCTGTTCCAAGCCACATCAGCCAATGAATGTGTGAACGATTGCAAGTGTCTCGATTCACTGATATCTGTTCCAAGCCAAGAACAAGAGAACAAAGCATAACAATAACATCAACAGGAACGAGGAGAACAATAAGGCACTGATAAGTACAGAGATCATGGATACACAGAAAGAAGGGGAAATGAGATAGGAATCACGTGACCCATAGTGACATGGCTCTGTAATGGTAATCTAATCACTGCTTTATATCCACTGACAACTTAACTTTAATTGAAATTATGTCTATTATATTATGTTGACATTTTTACATTTTGGTCTACCAGGGTCCTGTATGACAAAGTTCATAACTGCATTTAGATAGCTGAACGCTGCTACAACCATTGCTGTAACAGATGTACAACAGATTAAGAATGTTTGTAACTATATTCCATGTTTAATGCCTTACAATTTAGACTCAGCTCCAATATGTTAAGGGCATACAAGAACCCAACAGCCCCCAAACTGATTTGTTGAATGGGACAGGAATCAGTATCAAAATGACATTAAAATCATTGCTTCCCAATATCAGATAAACAACAACATACCAGTTCACTAGCATCAGCAGACAATCTAGCTGACAACAAAAGCGGCAGCGCCACAAGATCCACTGATTGCACATGTCCGTATCATAAAATGTTATGCAGTTGATAGACTAAAAGGTGTGACACAACTGACTACACGTGTGTCACATCACACATCACAGAACGCCACACTGGACACACTGTGACATCACAAGGGATCTTGTTTTACCATAACAGCTTGTTTAACACATTCTAAGCCAATGATGATAATAACTAGGACATAAGACAGGAGAACTAAAAGAATAACATAAATAGTTAAATTAAGTTCATTTAAACAAACACTTGTGTCCTTTTCCAACCACAATGAAACTTATCCTATCTAAAGATATAATCCGACCTTATCTGTCACCCTGACCTTAAGCATAAAAAGCATAAACTTGTCCAAAAGGATAATGAAAAAATATAAAAGTAATATTTCAATAAAAATATATTTCTGTAAAACTGAAAACTATAGAAATATAGCTCAAGCTATCAAAAGCTAAGAAATGCAAAACTATGTGACATTGCTTGCTTATAGTGAATAATGAATTATTCCATGCAATGCTTTACTGATAATGCTTATAGTGAATAATGAATTATTCCATACAATGCTTTACTGATAATGCTTATCAGAGAGACCAGAAATAAGTGAGCCATGGGGGTTGTGTTTGCTACCTAGTTTAAATTTCATTCTTTACAGGTTGCACAAGTGCATGTTAACTTGCTGGAGGTGTGCAACTCTAAACCAGGTTGCACCAGGTGTAACTACATTCACAAGCATTGGAATCATGCTCAAGTCCATGTGCTTTACTACAAACTATCCAACATGAAAGGTGCTATCTTATTGTCATTTAACAACAATGTTGCACATTGTTTAAGTGGGGAATACAATCAATATTACACCCTAAAATCACTTCTAACACAATCTGTGAATGTCTGTCTACATGTAAAGTTTCACATATCTCCTCAGTTGATTATCAACCAATATTCCTTGGAATAGTTTGTTTTGATATTCATCAAAACTACCGGTACATCAACTAAAGTGAGCCTCAGTAAGCTCCATAAACAAACAACCTGTTTAGGTCAGACCAACTTAATTACTTGTGCTACCTGGCAGACCTATCTCTTCATGGAATAATGTCTGTTTATGTATCCTGTATCTCAAAATCGATAGAAACATTGACATTGTGACTATATAACCCAGAAAAATTTGCTTTCATCCCCAAAATATGAAATTAAAACAATTGCATGTAAGGCACAAAAAGCAGCAGTAAATATTGTCATTATCTAGAGTTTTAGAAGATTTCATGTATTTGTTTGCTCCTGCCTTTATGTATGTAAAGGATAAAAGTATGTAGAAGTTATTAAATTTGTCTGGCCTGTTGACAATCACACAACAGTACATGGAGAGACATCAGCTGTTATTCAACTTAATGCAAAACCTTTCATGATTTCCTTTCATATTAATGTGGAATCAGATGATCGTAGTAGGTACTCAAAAAATGTTTTCATAAACACATCATATAAAAAATCTGTTCCAGAACCTCTAGTGTTGAGTGAGATTCAGGAAAATAACACAGTGAATTCACAAACTGACTATTAAATGAGGGTGAGTAAGCGAGTTGGTATGAACGCTGCTTTAAACAGTATTCCAATTACGTCATTGCGTGTGTGCCCCAAGTGATGCAGAACTCATATGTTTACCACTTTAGTGAAACTGAAAGCATGGGACTGGTGGTGACAAACTGCCAAAGTCCAACCCCCAGTTACATGGCTGGCATGGTGAAGGGACACAACTCTGCACAGAGGACCGCGATGCCTGTAAAGACTGGGCTCCCTGTCCCCAATATGTTGATGAGACAAAACGAAAAACATCACCCTTTTTAAGATCGCAACATCACATCATTCATATTTTAAGAATCAGCATTATTTTGAAATGACACAGTAATTATTTTCACACCCAAATCCTTCCAACACATGATACCATTACTCACACCAGACCTATTCCTTTAGTTAAACATTTTAAAATAACAACGAAATTTATAGAAAAACAAATTAAAATTCCACACTGTGTCACTCCAAAATAAAGTTGCTAGGCACTGGGATTCAAGTTGATTTACCCTTTTTCCTGACAAAAATAATGTGTCATGTTTGACATTAAGCCAGGTGAAACAAATAAATGCTGTGATGATATTTGCCACACAACTTACAGAACATTCTAATGAATGACTCACACAACCCAATGAATTTTTCTCAGAATACTACTTCAGTAATGTGATACTCTAACACCCAACCATTGCTTTGAAATCCATGTAATTAGACCTACGATACCATATTTTCTGCCATATTTGCAACTGTATCAAAATTAAATAGAACAGAGGTTTTTGGGAGCTGCATATCGTTGCAAGTAGGTATACTGCTGTCCTTGAGACTATGATCCTACGGGCACAATATACAATGGATAAGCGATTGAATTAGATTATGTTGTATGAGAGCCACCGTGAATGGGCTTTAAAATTGCAACCAAGTGGGAACCAAACCCAGGACTTTTAGCTTGACAGGCAGACAACTGTACTTTATGCAACTAGACTACCTTTCAAGCAAACACAACTGTAGGGCCCATGGAATGAGCCGAGTCATTTCATATCTTAGTAATATGCCTCACTCTCATTTACAGTCAAGTTTTTTTTCTCCAAATAAAACTCATAACTGAAAAAATGATACTGATAATGGTTGGATATTGGCTTCATTGAGCAAAAAACATTTGATCCTCTTAACAAGATTCCTTTATGAAAATAACTTATAACAATATGCACCTCTTAACAAGCATACAATATCATTTCATAACATGCATTTCTATTCTTATTTCCTCAAATCCAGCAGAGCCTACTGACCAAACATAACACAGTTTAATAAATATCAACATTATCTAATTATGTCATACATCATTACAACATATTGTCATATTTTTTTTCGTGGAAAGTCATATGATATTACTCAAAGAAGTCAAGGACAACCCAATTCTTCATGTTAGTGATGTGAAAGAATCGAGTGGCCCTGGACTGATTTTAGTAGCACATTTATCTCATCTGTAACAGTAGTACCATTGAATACACTCAGTACCAACTTTCACCCATGGAATGTCCTGTTACGTAAATTGACTCAGAAACTGAGATGGAAGTATGGCCACCACACATAAAAATGAGATTCATTACATGTTGAATTTCTTGCAACTGGTCCTTAACATGCCATTAACCAAATAAGTAGACGGCAGTTTCTGCTCTGCTGAAATTCCATGTACACACACATTGTGGTTGTTAAATCACCGGTAATTAAACAGCTTGTTAATTACAGCCATGTCCAGGTCACATGACCTTTTCTGCACACAACCTTTGGTTCCACAGTTTTTACAACAAATATTTTTCAAAAAATATTCTATACTTTCAGACTATTTATATCAGTTCTCTATTTTTGTCAATAATTTCATAAAAATTGACATTAAAAATAGAATAAATTAGTCTCCTGTGGAGGTCTATGTTACAATATGTACAGTCTTGGTTTCCATGGCGATCGCTGAGCGTCAATCACTGCTGCTCGTTTCTGAGGGGCTCGGATTGGAACCTCGATCCTGCTGTCGGCTCTGGAATACAAGAAGAAACTTTATTAAAAATCGACAAAATCAGACTTTTTAATATGTTTAAGCACAGAAATACATTATATTCATGAATCCAATTTGAAAACACATTGTTTCAAACATGGAAATAAGTGAGTGAGTGAGTGAAAATATTTCAGTTACAGCACTACTGTGGGAGGAAAGGTAGTTTGGTTTGTTTGTTGTTTAACGCCGCACTCAGCAATATTCCAACTATATGGCAGCGGTCTGTAAACAATCGAGTCAGGACCAGACAATCAAGTGATCAACATCATGAGCATCGATCTACGCAGTTGGGATACAATGACATGTGTCAACCAAGTAAGCCAGCCTGACAACCCGATCCTTACGACAAACATGGGTTACTGAAGACCAGTTGTAACCCAGATCTTCAGGGAGGAAAGGTGAAGTGATGTAGGGTTCAGTACTGTTGTGAAGCCAGTGGCAATGGTTATGGTGCTGAGAAGCAAGTAGTGAGTGAGTGAGTGAGTATGGTTTTACGCCGTTTTTAGCAATATTTCAGCAATATCACGGCAGGGGACACCAGAAATGGGCTTCACACATTGTACCCAAGAAGCATGGAAAGGACAACGGTGAAACTCCATGGTCATTGTACTGTGACTATGGGTTGCAGTTATGCACAGTGACATGCAGTCTTTAGATGACTGTGCCCCACCCCCAACCCCCTGTATATGGCTGAACGTAGGTTTGAGATGTGCCCCCACGTATATGTTTGAAGGTGGGCTTGTGTGCTTGAGGGGTGTCGACAGAACATAGTTCGAGGGTGGTCTTGAGGGATGCCCCTTGTTTGTAGTAAAACGTGGCCTTTAGGGATACCTCACGTACAGTTTATAGTAGGCTTGCTGAAGGCTGAATTTGTCAGATATAGAGTCAGGGTCAAGGTTTCACCTGAAGAATATTAATATTCACTCCAAGATTTAGTCTTCAGGTGACCTTCAGTCTATGTTCAAAAGTAACATGTAAAATGAGATCCTAAAGTCACATGAGGTGAGGTGGTGTTTAATGTCACATTCATGATTACTGCACTAACATAGTGGCAAGTATGCATGTGTGGGTGTGTGGCTGCTTGCACTAGTCCGCACTCACGGTTAACAGTGCTAGCTCACTGAGATACCATGCTGCAGTTTAAAACAGACACCCTTCCTCTACACATTATACTGACTAAATCAGTGAAAGGTTCTCTCCCACACAAATTCCAAACCTAACATTTACAAGGAGTGATCCAGCTGTATCAAGTCATCAATGCACAGACAAGGGTTTTGTTTACCTGCACTATTGATTGTAAGGGAGACAACTTGAGTGAATCGAAAATTCCATAGTAGTTTAAACTACGTGGGAGTAACCTTTGAGCTTGCAACCATGTCAAGGTCTTACAACTATTATGTCATTTGATGTCATGATTCAATGGTATCTCATTCTGAAGTAAAAATATGGGATTGGTTGTGAAGGAAAGAAACTTCATTCAACATATCTGATGAATGTGAACTACAAAGCTGAACGATGATAGTGTTCAACAGAAGGTGTGAGAAACTAGGACTTAAACCGCCAAGGTCACCAAGGTCACCCAACTATGTGCATCATACCCATTTACCCAGTTATCAACAATCAGCAAACCGTGCAGACAAGCATGATAAATCACAGGTGAAACAGTCAAAGCATCAAAAACCCATTAAAATAATCTTCCTTTCAATGAAGATTCTGTTGGAGCCGTCTCCCAACACCACAAATAGAGCTACACCACACCTTGTCCCTTAAGCCTATCATATCAATCAGTCAATGGCAATCTCCTCGCCACCGCCACACCATGGGACACAACTGCTGCTCCTGTGCCTGCAGACACTCCCGAATTCCTTGGTCAACCACAGGTACCCTCTTTGATGCCTCAGGTGCACGCACCAACAATGTAACTTGCCCCCAACCTGTTTTTGTCAACAAGTTCACCGATATTTTTACAGGCATTAAAGCTGCTCCCTGGCCTGTCAAGTGAGAAAACCACATTTGCCTTACTTCCTGCTTTTTATCATTGCACGGAATTGTGGGAATGTGGAGAATGTCACAGTCTGCGATCACTGTGCCACCCACAAGTCGCCACCATCGTCGTCACCACATTTCTGGGGATGAGCTTGGACTAGAAAATTAAATATTGGGTCTCCAAACATCCACATTGTTGCCAAGCTGGATAAGAAATTAGAAAAACATCAGTTGATGCTTGTAAGTTACACTTAAACTATTTTCCAAACCATCACATTGAAACATCTGAGCCAAAAGACTATGCAAAAGTACATTTGAGTTGATGCAAAGATAAAACGATTAATGATTGGATTCCTAGGCTGGAGGCTGCCCTGGTGGTAAACCTCATATAAACCACTGCCAAGAAACATGATGTCTTGGAAATATGCACAGGTTGCAAATTTTCAGATCTATAAATTCTAAGCTGTTTGAAAAGAACCAACATAGTTAATCTTTCTAAACAAACTTAAGTGGAAATATACTCAGGTTATTTATCAAATTTCAAACAGGTTTTTCTAAGTAAGTGAGAGAATATGGTTTTATGCTAGTTTGGCAATAATCTAGCAATATCCAATCAGGGGATACAAGAAATGGGCTTGATGTATTGTACTCGTGGCGATGCAACTCTGCTCAGTCAATTATGGCACCCTGCCCAAGAGGGACCCTGATTTTATAGAGACAGTTTCAGACCAAACCCTTATATTACAAAATGATGACCTTCACAGAACTTATTGCCGGACTGAACAGGTCTGCATCAAATCTCAAACAGTCTGCATGAATACCAACATAATCAAAGGAACAAACAGATTCATGAGAGGGTTTTACAAGATGTCACGACAAAAGCTTAAGTAAAGCCTAATTTCATGAAGCTAATTTCCAATGGATAATTGAACCAGAGAACTATAACCAATTATTTTCCATATTTAACACACATTAAAACATGTCTCATTATCAATGTATTCTCACTAAACGAAGCCAATCACATTGTCCTGAAGCAAATGTCACTAGAGTTACAACCAATCAAATCACAGGTTTCAAAATTATCCATAAATGCCCCTTAGGATATAAACTGTGGTAATAGTTTTCAAGACATTGGAGCCACTAAAGAGTCAATTTACTCAAAAGAGAGCTTCTCTTACAATAGGATACCATTCTCCAAAAGAGAGCACTGACATTATGACAGCTATGTTGTTATCTTATCAACAGGTTTAAAAATACAAATCATTAGAAACAAAAAAAATTCTCCTTGAAATATTGATACAAGGATCAAATAAATAAAAACAATTCGAGGACAGAAAGTGGTGGGTTGTCTGAGTTACTGAAACATACAGATACCTCCTTAGATGGTAATTCAGACACCCCCAAAATAGTTACTTTAATTATACAACAATGAAAGTGTGGCCTGTGAAACGTAATTATTTAAACATAAACATGCTAATTAATGTGGCAGGTTTGTGATAATGGCAGCAGCAGAACACAGCAGCTCCACATTTAAGTCTAATTTAGTACAATTAACCAATCTTTCAAGTCTACCAAGATCCTGATTAATGCCAGTGTTTGCAGTGTATTCACCTGCTGTTACTAGTTCAGGTATGGTATCATGTGTATGCAGTAAATGCAGTCTCCGGCACGCTGTAACCATGACTTACAGGAAGCAACAGGTCATCAGTATCAACCTCAGCTGTTCCTGTTGGCATGGTGATGGGGAGACATGTTTGTATCTACCTGTATAGAAAGACATCAAAGAGACCCTGTCAGTCAAACACAGGTAGACAAAAATAGTCACAGGTGACAGGTGCTCTCACAGCTACTGTGGTAGATCACCCAGGGAGCGGGGTGTCCTTAAAAGGGGTGTGAGCCAAACTGTCAGGAAGGCTGGATTTTGACACTGTAATTAGTTCCATGGGAGAAACTGGGAGATGGATTTGTGTAATGAGGGTAATTGCTAGTTGACTGATAAACTTTAAATCATGGACTGATGAACATAATCTGAGTCCTCAGTCAGTGGTGTTTTGGGGTGAAGATCAGGATGAAGACTATTCTACAGATAGAGTTTTTGTTTGGATGAAGATCATGTTAAAGATGGGTCTTGGTGTTTTGAGATATAGATCATGTTAAAGATGGGTCTTGGTGTTTTGAGATATAGATCATGTTAAAGATGGGTCTTGGTGTTTTGAGATATAGATCATGTTAAAGATGGGTCTTGGTGTTTTGAGATATAGATCATGTTAAAGATGGGTCTTAGTGTTTTGAGATATAGATCACGTTACAATTGGACCATGTTTTATTGGAGGGGTGAAGATCATGTTAGAGACAGACTGTGTTTTTTGGGGGGAGAAGATCATGCTAAAGATGGGTCTGGGTGTTTTGGGCTGAAGATCATGTTACAATTGGACCATGTTTTTTGGTGGGGATGAAGAACATGTTACAGATGGGTCTTGGTGTTTTAGGATGAAGATCATCATGGACAACAAAGAGCAACAAAAGCCGATGTCACTACAGGTGTATGAACTGTTTAAATTACCTGTCCTGAATGTCTGTTTACCATTTCCTTGACACAACAGCCGGAAATGTTTTACCAATCCTGATAACCTACCCACAAAATGGCATAAGGTCAGCTAATGAATTAAATTTTCATGTACTTGGTGACAGTTTTTCCCCTTGAGCATGTAGAGACGTCCAGTGAACCATGAAGAAAGGTGTTAAGGCGTTAATGTGTGATGTAAGTGCGTAGAAGATGTCCAACTGGCTGTATTGTGATATATGACATGGCTGTGGAGGCAGTAAAGTGTCATATTGTTTACACTGTACCGGCACACTTGACACCTGGGTATAAAGTCACTTGCGGTCACATACAACCAACAGCAAGAAAGGAGCAGCATGTAGGTGTTAGGTATAATATCAATGACTGAGTTCACAGAGCACATCTTCAGCGGACAAAGGAATCATATTCGTTT